AGAACGTGGATAGTCACTGGAAAGATAATGTGATTTGTGTATCATATGTATGATGATCCTTCTCCTCTTCTCAGTGTATATATTGGTAATGCAGTGAATGCACCGATGAATGAGTTCGCAGCCTCTAAGTCTATCGTACTTGTTCAAGATCGCTAACAGTTCAATACATTGAAGATCTATAGTGCCTTTCTTCATTTCCCTATATCAAGCATAATAAAGTTGCGTTTCCAAATCACAGTATTGTGGTTTTTAAATTTAGATGTAAAATAATGCTACTCTATTTTGTGATATTATAGTCTGCTTGGGCAAGTAGTTCATCGTGTGATGATGTGTTTGTATTACCTGTTTTTGATCCAAGATAGGTGCTCGTCTCAACAATCTGGAGACCTAGGTACATCTACTAATGCAGTTGATGGGATAATTGGTTTTGGTGAAGCAAATTCATCCGTCATCTCACAGTTAGCTGCAGCTGGAACGGTGAAAAAAATGTTCGCACATTGCCTGGACGGAGTTAAAGGAGGTGGTATATTTGCTATTGGACAAGTAGTTGAGCCAAAAGTAAATTCAGCCCCATTAGTCCCGAATAGGTATGTACTTTTAGTTGCCACTCCCTCCTCAAAAATAAAGGGAAAAAAATGAACAAATAAGACATGCAGACAGAAAAATTGCCATTCTACTGAATTACCTTGAATTTCTGCGAGAGGTCTCCGTAGCTTGAACCCGTGACCAGTTGGCCACATGGAGGTGGTATATTTGCTATTGGACAAGTAGTTGAGCCAAAAGTAAATTCAGCCCCATTAGTCCCGAATAGGTATGTACTTTTAGTTGCCACTCCCTCCTCAAAAATAAAGGGAAAAAAATGAACAAATAAGACATGCAGACAGAAAAATTGCCATTCTATTGAATTACCTTGAATTTCTGCGAGAGGTCTCCGTAGCTTGAACCCGTGACCACTTGGCCACATGGTGGCAACTTTTGTTGTTGTGCCAAGGTTCCCCTTCAATTCCGTTTATATTTATTTGAAACCAAAAAGGAGAATTGTTCGTATGCTAGTTACACAAGCAATAGCACATCTGGTTTTGACCCAAAACATACTAAGTGGAGACCATAAGATAAATGCTGATTTCCTTCGTTTACTGAACTGAAATGCTTCTCTTCCTCTTTAGGGCACATTATACTCTTTCTCTGAAGGATATTGAGGTTGGTAAAGAAGTTCTAGACATCCCGACTTCCCTCTTTGAGTCAAAATCCAGTAAAAAAGCAATAATTGACAGCGGAACAACTTTAGTATATCTTCCGAGCAAGGCCTATAATGCTCTCATGAACAAGGTAACTTCAGCAATCTATTAACTGCTAAGTCAGTTATGTCTTGGATGGTGTATATAGCAACTATGCATGGTTACATGGTCCTTTAATTTCCCCTTACTGCTTGATTTTTCACTGTATGCTCCTATAGCTGATGTCAAAGCAACCACAATTGAAGACTCATCATCTTGACGGGGACTTTGACTGCTTTATCTACAGCGGAAAGTAAGGCTCTTACCTCTCACGTTAGTTTCAAAATTTTATTATCATTGTTTACAAACTGATTTTGGTTTTCCTTTCTCGGTGCAGTGTCGACGATGGTTTCCCAGCTGTAACATTTCAGTTTGTGGGAAATCTTTCTTTGACAGCTTATCCCCATGATTATCTTTTTGAAGTTCGTGTAAGTAATCTAACTATGCTCAACTTCTTCAACACTCTCTTTAATTTGATTACATGTTGTTTTACCCATTCAGTAACCGGTTTGAGTTTGGGTTCAAGCTTGGTCATTCTACTACGGAAGCTATCCATCTTAATAGGAGGTTGGTTGAACTGTACAGGGACAAGGAAGAAGTATTTGCACATAGTGTTTATTGACCTAGAAAAAGCATATGACAATGTCCTTAGGAAAGTTCTGTGGAGATGCCCGGAGGTGAAAGTTGTTCTGGTAGCTTATATTAGGATGATCAAGGACATGTATGATGGAGCTAAGACCCGTGTTAGCACTGTGGGGGGCGACTCAGAGCTTTTTTCGGTTGTTATGGGGTTACACCAAGGATCCGCGCTCAGCCCGTTCTTATTTGCTCTGACGATGGACGCACTGACACACTATATCCAAGGGGAGGTACTATGGTGTATGTTATTCGTTGATGACATAGTTCAGATTGATGAGACGCGAGGCGGTGTTAACGAGAGGTTGGAGGTTTGGAGGCAGACCCTCGAGTCTAAAGGTTTTAAGTTGAGCAGGAGTAACACAGAATACGTGGAGTACAAGTTCAGTGACGTATAGGGAGAAACACACATGGACGTGAGGCTTGCCTCTCAAGTCATCCCCAAGAAAGGGAGCTTCAAGTATCTGGGGTCGGTTATCCAAGGGGGTGGGAGATTAATGAGGATGTCACGCACCGTATAGAGGTGGGGTGGATGAAATGAAGGCTAGCATCTGGTGTCTTGTGTGATAGGAAGGTAAGTTCTACAGAGCGGTGGTTAGACCGGCCATGTTATATGGTGCAGAGTGTTGGCCATTCAAGAATTCTCATATCCAGAAGATGAAAGTTGCAGAAATGGGGATGTTTAGATGGATGTGTTGGCACACTAGGCTAGATAGGATTAAGAATGAAGATATCCGAGTGAAGGTGGGCGTGGCTTCAATGGAAGACAAGATGCGGGAAGCTAGGCTTAGATGGTTCGGGAACTTGCGGAGGAGAAACATGGATGCCCCGATAAGGAGGTGTGAACGGCGTGCCTTGACGGGTATGAGTAGAGGTAGAGGGCGGCCTAAGAAGTATTGGGGAGAGGTGATCAGGCAGGACATGGTGCGGCTTCAGATTTCCGAGGATATGGCCCTTGATAGGAAGCTGTGGAGGTCGAGCATTAAGGTTGTAGGTTAGGAGGTAGGAGGCTAGTCTGATAGTGTTGTGTCTTAGGCTGGTGGTAGCTCCTGTGTGTCCATATTACTTCATTAGGGTTGCAGGTTAGGTTGTAGGAGGCTAGTTTGATTGTTGTCTTAGGATGCTAGTGGCTCTTGTTGTGTCATTATTACTTCCATTATGTCTGTAGTGTTATGCCTTTGTTACTGCTTTTCTTTCTGCTGTCTGGTTATCACGTTGTTGGTGTTATCTTTTTGACTTCCTTTGATGTTACAGCTTAACTGTCCTTTACCATCGTCGAGAGCGGAGGGTCTATCGGAAACAGCCTCTACTCCTCCGGAGTAGGGGTAAGGTCTGCGTACACACTATTCTTCCCAGACCCTACTTGTGGAATTTCACTGGGTCGTTGTTGTTGTTTTATCCATCCAAGAAAAAAAAAATAATAATAATAATAATAACGTAAAAGGACCAAAAATACCCTTAACGTATTTAAATTGGTTGTGTGTGTGCTAACACGAAGATACAAGTCTATTATTTAAATGGTATATCAAGTTGTCCGATTTATGTAAGTGATACATTTACAATCGTTGTTGGCAGTATATGTCTTGTGTCGAGGGTCTATCAGAAACGGCCTCTCTACCTTCACAAAAGTAGAGGTAAGGTCTGCATACATCCTACCCTTCCACGAACGGATTCTTACTGGGTTTGTTGTTGTTGTTGTTGGCAGTATATGTTTAGTCCTATGATACATGTCTGATGCTGTTAGGCTGCAGGGGAAGCCAACGTGATACATGTCTTTTGTAGCTTAGATAACATATGAATAAAAGACCTCTTTTGTTGCGGAGATCGTCATCTCAGTTATCCTCTGGTTACATTTTGCAGGATAATGAATGGTGCATTGGTTGGCAGGAGGGAACACAGGGAAAGGATGGAAATGAAATCTATCTGTTAGGAGGTATGACTTTACCCCTTCTCCTACTTCGCCTTCAACTATGTATGAATTCCATGAATCTTCACCTTGTCTCAGACACCTAGCTTGGATAAATATTTTTTCTTTCATTTTATTTGCTCGAGACAAAAAATATGTGGCAAAATGTGCAACTTGTCATAATTGAGCTCAAGTTGATACAATATAGAAAGACATCTTGGTGACAATAATCGAGTTAACTTTTGTAACAATCTTGATGCAGATCTTCTGTTATCAAACAAGCTTGTTCTGTATGATCTTGAGAAACAGACCATTGGTTGGACTCAATATGACTGTGAGTATTGCTTCCCACTTATTTGAATGCATTTTCTTACTTCACTTTCTTCGATAACCGAGGGTCTATCAGAATCAACCTCTCTACTTTCTCAAGGTAGGGGTAAGGTCTACGTACACAGTACCCTCTCCAGACCCCCACTTATAGGATTACACTGGGTTTGTTGTTGTTGTTGTTGGTCTTAATAAAATATTTTTTTTTTTGGGTTGATTTCAGGCTCGTCGAGCATTAAAGTGAAAGACGAAACTTCTGGAAATGTGTATACAGTGGGTGCTCACAAGATATCATCAGCATCTAGTTTGGATTCAAGAATGGCTTTTACATTCTTCTTGTCAATTATCTCTTTCTTCTGCTTTTTGTTGAAGTGAGAGAACATCAGAAAGACTGTACATTGGAGTAACCATTACATACTACAATTGAAAGGTTCCACAGCATGATTCTTTAATCCACTTCTTTTATATGAAATTGTAAAAGAATCGGTTTTGATGAAAAACTGACATCAGCAGATTTTCTTCTCTGCTTTTAAACATATAGGAACCATTCGCTATGCTAGTGTCAAATATTTCTTCTCCTGCTTTTTCCAATTTTATGTCTCTTTTCTTTTTGGATATGATACAAGATATAGTGAATTGACTTATGTAAAACATGCTTCATGTTTACTTCCGTTTCGTATATATCATTTTGTTTCAGTGTGAAATCAAAGTGTACAACCTAAATAAAGTTTCTTTTTTTTTTTTTTTGGAAAATTCTCAGCAAAACCCGCCGCTAACCTTCGGGTAAGCTGCTCATTGTGCAATAACTCGCAAACCGCTCATTGTGCAATAACTCGCAAACCACACAGGAGATGTAAACCACACTAGGCAAGCCCGGTGCCACGAGCTCCCTAATAAAGTACTTAATACCATTTGGTAGTTAGAAGAATCCAAACATCTAAGATCTGACCACATAACAAAAAACTGAGATATGAAAAGAAAAAGAGAAGATAGAAAGCCAAGAATGAAGAAGACTACAACTAGGAATTATACAAAATTCCAATCTACCTAAGCTAGAGAAAAGGATGACTCCCAGACACACTAATATAGCCGGGCCCACCTCTCCGGTCCGAAAAAATATCTAATATTTCTCCTTTTTTTTTTTTACAGTAAAGAAATGAAGCCATAGAAAAAAGGCAAAAGAAAATGAAAAATCATTTAAACAAATAAATTCAGAGTTGCAAGGAGATTTCACCCTCTTTGCTTCCTCCAGCAGCTCTCTTTTCTTCATTGTCGGAACAAACGTTGGCAATGCACCTTGCGGTCTGAGGCTTCTTCTTTTTCTTCTTCAAAAACTTTTTTGCCTTCTCGAACAATCCCAGAATGATCCAGTACAGTTAGACCAGAGGAACATTCCTATTGTCCGTAACTTCGCTCAGTTCATCAAAGACAGTCTTGTCCATCGTCTTTAGAGGTCGAGTCAATTGAGTTCGAATCAAGGAAGAGGCAGACAACAGCACAATCATCAACTTTAGAGGTTGGGTATTCAGTTCTCCAGGCTCGTACAGCTACTTCAACCAGTGATCGAGCTGCAAATGAACGTGGTGAAGCTGAAGCCACAATGTTTACCACTTGGTCATTTGAAAGCACATCCCAAATCTGTCATAGCCATCAAAATTAGTTTTTGACTAGGAGATAATATAATCACATTAAGTATTTAGCAACAAAAAATAAGAAACTCTTACCCCATCCGTTGCCAGAACAATGAACTGATCTTTCTCTGTTAAACACCTATATGAAATTTCAGGCACAGCTATGAGGCCAAAATCCTTGAGGCAAAAATCTCCAAATGCACGTGCCATGGCTAGTCCAGGTGAGTCACTGTTCGGCAACCACACTCTTGCAACCTCTGGTTCATTGCGAAGAGCAAATACACGCCCTTTACATTTGCGAATCCTCTCTGCCTCCACTGTAAATTTACAAAGAAGTATTTAATAGAAAAATATATATTAGGATGAGCCATCAAAAGCATTAGTCCAAGTCAACAATGCAAAAATAGGACTCTGCTTTCAAGAATACTATAATGTAGGTGCTACAATCCTAACGAACATAAGCATTTATTTCCTGAAGAAAGCATCTATTGCTTCATCTCTAAATTCATTCACCTGTAAAATGACTGTTGCTAAGCATCTGACTAGTCAAAATTAATTTTGTTAAGCTTAGAATCATAAAAGTAGATACCCCTAATCCTTCTTTTCCTTTTCTTTCTTATACTCCCCAAATACAGGTTACTGTATTGCGTGCAATCTGGTTTAGATGATTATGTTTTCATAAACGATAGAACTAATTGAAGTCCATAGATGGTCATGGTAAAGCGGATGCAATTTTCACATTTCTTCTCAGATGTCAATATGAATCTGCAAACTGTCAAGGGGAAGAACTGTCTCTCGATACCTCAAATGCAAAGAAAATCTAAAATATATGAATAAATTTGCTAAATTGACTCTTCATGAGATTCAAAAGATGGTGATTTAGTAAATGAGACCAGATAAAGAAACAGAGCAAGCTAACAAAATCTAACCATTGTCTGTGTCACGAACAGAAATTCTGATTTGTCAGCAGTAACATATAAGAGGGTCACTATAAATACATGATTTGACTAGCAGAACCTACTTAACCAGTCCTGTTAATATGAGCCTATACCATTATAGATGAGATTACAGTCTTTCCAAAATATTTCAATCAACAAACTAGGACTTTCAGTTTCTGACTAGTACACCTGTTTCGACGATTTACTCTTCTTCAGTACTTCCTGGGTGTTAAACCTAAAATGCTTATGAACAGCAATAAGGAAAAAAATAAAAATGAACACTGGACATCAAACTGACAGGCGAACATCTGAAATTGCGTAACTTCATAAATGGGTAAAAAGTAATTAAAGTGAAAAATCTGTTTAATATTCGATTTCACTAGCTGTCATTTAGCCCATCAGACTTGACCCTCATATAACTCAGAGTTAACCGACTTGCTAAGTCAACTTCTCCTCTGACACCATCAGGAAAACTGCCAAGAAAGTATGTTTTATCCCAACAAAATATTTTCAGAAAAAAAAAACTAGTGCTTAACGAAGCAACTTCCATTTATTATCTCCCTTTGAGAGGTTGATCTTATCAGTAATAAGATTACAACCTTCAGACCCTTCGGATAGAAGGTTAACCAAAGAGTAAATTTGGACTATCCCAAAGGGCTGAGAGAGTGAAAGGTTGGTGTGGACCAAAAACCAACACTGTGACAGATTTTTCCAATTGACGGAAGTTGGTGAAACTGAAGTTGTGTACAGAATAAGGCCATAAAAAAGATGAAGAGAAAAAGGAGAAAAAGCTTGCAAGTCACACAGAGACATAATTATTTGGGGGCTCTGATATTTTTGCCCAACTAAATTGCATCGATCAACATCAATGGCTATAGGCTACTTAATTGCATTACTGCAACCTCATAGATTAGCCGTATGAGCTGACATAAACTGCCTACTCTTTAAAGCCCTTCATTAGATTTAATAAAATGAAAGCCGCTAGTCCTCACTAATAAAAAACAGCAATCCCTCCCCTTCTGTTACCTAATTTTACTCATTCAGTCTTCGTGGTTCCATTGGTTGGTAGGTCCGTCTTAGCTTCTGGGCTAGGTCTCGATACAGAAGGAACATAGAGGGTGTGTGCGAAACCCCATGCTTTGAGAGTTCCTAATTAGGACTAGACAGCCATAAGTTATCATAAAGCTGAGGATAAGTGGTAAATTCATAATTGTAACACAAATATGAAATTCAGAAAGCAACATGCAGGCACCAAGATATTCACCTTATTTTTATCCAAATAAAAAAGAAAATACATGAAGGACAGCAAGATATAGGATTATATGCACCTGGTAGGTTAGGTTTAAGATCTACTGTCAATTGTACAGCCATCAAAGAATCATCTTTATCTCTCGTAGCAAGTACAGCTCTAGAATCCCCAACATTTCCAATTACAAGATCCTGACCCTACAGGAAAAAATATAAGTTTATATTCAGAATAACATAGCACAAGACTGTAGCAAGGTTCAACTTTCTGAATTTGTTGACAGACCTGCTTAACAAGGGTAACTGCTGTTGTTCCGCTACAGAAGCAATTGATACGGTTATATCCTCTCAGTTCTCTATCCATGAACTTATAAGCCTTTAGAAATGAGTCCTTCAATGTCTGAAGGACCTCTGGTTGCTTTTCAGTCTTGTCAACATCAATTGAAACCCTCGACTCCTCATCAACAGATATAAGGGAAGCATCCGCAGAGTATAGGGTATTTGCACTAGTCTCTCTTACAACATCATCATCATTTTTAATATTAATTTCCCAGTGTGCACTTAGCTTTAAAGGAAGAGAATCTCTGACTCTCTTCGCAACAAAATGACCATGAGGACCATGGCCATCGAAAACACCACAGAAAACTGTATCCATTCTGGAACCAAAATTCTGAAATAATTATTATATGAAAAATCAGGAAACAACTTTCCAACGGTTATAGTGAGAAAGAATCGTGACTAGGGAAACAACTACAAAGATATCTGAAAAAGCAGGAATACATCCTAACTTAGTCCCCAAAAATTAGAAAAAAACATCAAAAAGAGTGTGAGGGGGGACACATCATATAAGTACATCCAATAACAATTACACAGATATAAACATGCAACAAAAACAAAACTAAAGTATTTGTTTATATTTCCTAATCATTTTCAGGAAGCTGATGATTTATCCATGCCCAAGGGCTAAGGGAGTATCTAATATTCTGAAATTAAATAAACACATAAACATAATCCTCTAAATACTATACTATACAAGCTGAAGCAAAAATAACCATCTCTAGCCACCAATACTGTGATAGAAAAATAACTGCCGGATAACCGTTTTTGCCCCTAGAACTCGTTTTAACTACAGCCATGATAGGATGCACATGCTGTTGATTCATAATATTTGCGAACTAAACACCTTTTTTGTAACCAAGAAATCCCCAAGGGATAGTGGCACACGGTTCAAAACTCAGTGGATAATGGGCATTGCCGCTCTATCCTTCTCCACTTAAATACAAGGTCGGAGCTAGAAACCTGGCTAGGGGTTCGGCTAAACCCGGTAGCTTGAAACTGTGTATTTACGCTGAAAAATTAAGCACTTAATATCACTACTTTACAAAAATAGTGAGGTGAAGAAAATGACTAACCTCCCAAACAATCATGGCATCTTGATTAGGTCCTTTCTTTCCCTGCTGAGTGAAGAGTGAAGCCACCTCGCTCGATCCATTCAACAACATACGCCCAGGAATCCCCTGCAGCTGTTCCTCCGTTGACCACTTTCTTGAGCTCTTCCTTTTAGTTGCAGATACTGAAGGTCCAGGGACTGGGCTCCTGCTTTCAAATGAAAAGCAGGAGCCCATCCAAACCAAAATATTCAATAAGCACTCCACCACAGCAAAATTATCACAATCACTCCCCCCTATTTTTGGATCCCTAATATCTTTCTTTATAAACAATTCAATACCCAGTATCCAATTCTCCTGTCTATCCAATAAATTTCACCATTTTCAATTAACTTTTAACAATCAAAATAATAGTTAATGAAATTAATTATTCACCAACTATAAGAATGGAGTAACGATAACAGAATCAATAAGGGTAAACAATAGAGATTTTCACTTTTCTCCCAAAGAGGAATAAAGCGTAAAGAGTAGATCAATAAACACTATCCCCTTTTTCCAATATTTTAATTTCAAAAAAACCCAATTAATACCCAAGTAGAGTTGAGCTTCAAAAACACCAAAGGATAAAAAAAAATGGTACAGTACATGCAAGAGCGAAAAGAAGAAGAGAACATATAAAAAGAGGGAAAGAGAAAGAATAGAGATTTTCATTACACACATTCCCTTTTATAAGGAAAGAAATATCTAAATCATGCAAAGATATTTTACATCATAGTAATAGGTTAGTTGCTGGCTTGCCAGAGATCACGCGTTCGAGCCCTCAAAATAATTTCTAGCGGGATAAGGTTGCGTACGATACGGCCCTTTCCTAAATTTCGAGCATAGCGGGAGCTTAGTGCACCCGACTGTCCTTTTTAGTAATAGGTTAATTATTATTGTTATTATTATAATTATATGATTATCAAATAAAGTTTATTGTGAAAATTTATATAGAGTTGAAATTTTATCCACATTAAAATATTTATACGATCAAATTATTTATAATTTAGTAAAAGTAGTAGCGAATCTAGTTTAGGTTTTACTAATTGTGTAATTATTATATTATCGGTGTATACAACTTAGACATATTTACTTATTATTGTCTTGCAAAAATTTGATTATTTAAATACCTTTTATAATAACGATAAATAGGACTTAAGCTCTCGTATGTACACGTGAAAATACATATTCTATAGTTTCTTTTTCCTTTTCTTTTGGGGTTGCTTTTGTACCACTCTTGTTTCATTTAATATCTTCCTATAGCTAACATGACTTATTGAAAACCCCAATATAGTGTTAAGAGAGTTTTAAGAAAAATAAATCCAAATTAGTACTTGGGTTGACTAAATGGTAAGTTACATAGTAAAATTGCAATTTTTTTAATTATTTGATGAACATGTTCATACTTTCTTGTAGAGAAATTTCTCTATAAGTAAGTAATAACAGCGAGCCTATTAAAACATATAATCGTGGTGTCATGCCAACTAATCACTAAAAAAATAAAAAATAAAAATCTTAGACACGATTTTCTCTTATTTATTTTTTATATATAAAAAGGATCCAATTGAATACCAAGCATAATAAATCTTAAACAATTGACCAGTCCAAAAGTTTTTTTTTTCAGAGTCTCTATTTCATTATACACGATGAATTAAAAGTGTTTTTTTTAAAAAATAATTTGTTCTAATTATCACTGGCTGCTGGCACCATAGTAATGAAATAGAGAGAGAGACAAAATTCAGATGTATAGAAATTAAATTTCCTCTCTAAAATAATTGAAAATAATTATATGTATCCTGATATCCAAAGTGGCTTTTGTCTATTGCTTTTGGTTGGATAAGGAGGAGGGCCAAGAAATGATAGGAATATTCCATTAAAGGAAAGCTTTTGAAGTTTGTTAAGAATATGGAGGGAATGCAACCAACAAGGGTTGCGGTGAAGTACGGTAAGTAGTCCTTCATTCTTAATGAGATGTCTCGGGTTCGAGTTTCTAGGTATGAAGTTGCATTTGTTAGGGAACGTTTTACTCCCAATATGGGACTTCCCGACGCGAATTCGATTTAGTCGGGCCCCAACGTGAGTACCGAACACCAAGTGGAAAACCAAAAAAAAAAAAAAAAACAAATAAAGAGAAAAGTTAACTGTATTGGGTGTTTTCTTAATTACTTTGATATTCCTTTTTGCTTACATTTTCAACCTTTCCCATTTTTAGTTAGTTCTTTTCACTAAACCTTTGTTTATAAGTAGGGTGGAGCTAGCATTTCCGTTACCGATTCGGCGAACTCAGCAACTTTGTTCCAAATTTTGTATGTCTTTACAAAATTCATTGAATTATATATAAATTATTAATTTAGAATTTCGAACTCATAAATTTGAATTTATGGCTCCGCCACCTAACCCTACATTATCAATAACGCGGTTAAAAGTTACTCGATCTCTACGAAACTCAATTAGTCTATCTCGAAACTGTTAAAATTATATTATATGAAAAGATTCTAAAAACTTACTCTTATAAATAAGTAAAAGTTGTTTTTCAATCTCTTCAAGTATTGGATAACGTCCTACATATAAATAATATAGAGTATACTTTATTGTGGCTTTACACTGTCACATTATTGAAGCTCTCTATGAAAGACGAAAGCAACTATTTTTAGGAGTTTAATTAAATTTAATGAAGGTTAACTTTAAATACATTAAAAAAATTAGTTAGCCTCACACTGAAGCTATATATCTGTTGATGATGTGATTACATATCCAATTATTGTGAAAAGATTATTATGCGTATATAATATAAAATTATCCAGCTTCTCAATTGAGTGGTCATTTGGATAATCTTAGACCAATAATAGGATTATGATATCGTTTTGTTGAGTGTTGACCACAATCGATATATATAGTCCATTTAATTAGATGCCTATGAGTGGATATTCTTAATTTAATTTGATTGAAACCCTAACTAACGCTAGCATAATAAAATTAGAAAATTAACAAATTGTGCCATCCAACTCTTAATTAACTAACAATCTCATCTACCGCAATCTTATAAAATGTTTTGTAGCTATCTTAATTTCTGAACAACTATTGACCCAAAAATATCTAGAAATATATAATTAGTTGAGGTATGAACAGAAAATATATAATTATTTTGTTTTATTTTGATCCACGGATATAATCCTAATAAAGACAGTGAAGGTATCAAAACGAGCCAAATTAACATTAACTAATAATTAAATTGACCATTTTAACCTCTACTATCTCTTTAATTTGTTCATTGAAAATATAACAGATATTCCGAGACTATTTACTCCAAAGGCAACTTTGAAAAAAAAAAGAATTTATTCCTTTTTGCTATCTAAAAAAATCAAATAATATAGATTACAAAAAAAAAAAAGGCCAAAAAATTATTAAAGTGGACTGGGTGGAGTAATATTTGTGTATTAAAAAATAATTTAACTTAAATTTTTCTTTTATCCTTAATGTCATAATTGTACGGTCATTAAGACCACGAGTTTTAAAAATATATTTTTATTTATTAAATTGAATGTCCAATCAAACATGTTCACATAAAAATAAAACTAGAAACATAATTTTTTGGGCTCATTATTGGTAACTATATATATGTACATAGCTAATTTCTTCTCCTTAATTATGTGTACATTCTTATATTTTGCAACATTTTGACACGGTAGGTATATGTGTGTATAGGGTCAGAATGATTTTACGTACATGCACACACATACTACCCAGACGTAATAAATATCTTTAATAGTTTCTAACATTATTTTGTTGATTTATTTTAGCTTTAAAAAACTCCTTATATTACATGAAGACAGAATTATTGGATAAACTTATGTAAAAATAGCACGAGATAGCCAGTTTTCGGATTGGTAATTTAAAAATAGCCAACGTTTGCAAAGTCATTGAAAAATAGCCACTATTTTGCTGCAACACGGAACCAACATAATATACTGGAGATTGGTGCAATTGTGTATGAACTCCCAGCATATTATGCTGTAACTCCAACACGCGGAAAGTTCCAGCATAATATACTGTAGATTGAAGCACCTGTGTATGAACTTCCAGCATATCATGCTGGACCGGTATATTATACTGGAACTCCAGTATATTATGCTGTAATATTTTTCGGATTTTGAACATTGTTTTTGTTTCGATTTATCTTTATATGAAAAATGGCTAAATTTTGATTACTTTTAAAATCGTGACTATTTTTTAATGACCACTTAGAAATCTGACTATTTCTGAATTTCAGCCTAAACTTATCTGTCAAGCAACAAATATTTTATTGCAAAAATTTAGTGATTGTGAGAAGGTAAAACAATCAAAGTGATCGTGTCGTGATAAAATAAAGTCGCTCTTTTTAGGTAATGCAAACAATAATGACTAGACTAAACTAGGATTTGGACGTACTAATATATATCCCGCTCTGGGGCGGCCCTTGCCTAAAGCAGGTAAAGCAACTGTTTTCGGGCCCATATATTTTAGGGTCCCATTTTTTGTTACACCTAATAGATTATATATAAACTAAAAAAAAGTTATGTGAAGTGAAAAATTTTGATTTCTTTCTTAACAAATATAGAGAAGGAGGATTTGCAACTGTTGTGCTTTCTGCCAAGGAAATTGCATTTGAAATGAATATCGAACTCGGATTTCACTAGAAACGTGTGATATATATGAAGAACCTGTTAGGACCAAAAAAGTCAGGTGTCATGCGGAAGCTAGTAAAACAAACCTTGAGCGACGATAAATCCAACAACAAAAGGGAAATATACCAAAAGAGACACAAACATTTAACGTGGTTCGGTCAATTGACCTACGTCCATGGCGGAGATGCAATCCACTATAATAAAAAGAGAGTACAAAATATCGAGAAAACAACCTCACGAAGAGGCAAACACAAGTGACACACTAACACTTGTCCAGTAAAGTTCTCCCCCTAAACAAGACTCTCAAGCCCCGTATGGCTACATAGTGGATGCTACTAAATGTGAAGGAAGGATCCTCAATTTATAGAAGTCCAAACATTTTCCTACAAGAAAAGGGACTAGTCAAATATGAAAGAATTATATTTTCCTTCTAGGAAAAGAAAAACCCAATTATGGTAAATATATTGTGCTTTCCTTCATGAGATAAGAAAATCAATTATGGTAAGAAAATCTAGACAAACACCTAACAATTCTCCCCCTTGGCCTAAATTTTCTGACAAAATAAACTTGATCCACCTTCTTCGTATAGCCTTCAACAGGGTCGTATCTCCACCACAAAGTTTGTCTCAACGTGCTAGCACACCGGTCAAATTTCTCAGACAAAAGTTACGATTATCGTCAAATATGTCGCGGCTAGAACTGAACCCGCCAAGATGAACCTGTTTTGAACCTCGCTCTGATACCACTTGTTAGGAACGAAAAAGTCAAGTGTCATGCGGAAGCTAGTAAAGCAAACCTTGAGCGACGATAAATCCAACAACAAAAGAGAAATATACCAAAAGAGACAAAAATATTTAACGTGGTTCAGTCAATTGACCTACGTCCATGGCGGAGATGAGCAATCCACTATAATAAAAAGAGATACAAAATATCGAGAGAATAACCTCACAAAGAGGCAAACACAAGTGACACACTAACACTTGTCCCATAAAGTTCTCCCCCTAAAATGGACTCTCAAGCCCC